ACAAAATTAAATGTTCCAATATCTACAAATTTAACCCTATAAACCCGGGGCCAAAGGCTGAATTGTTATGCGCAAATGGTCATTGTCGTCGACGACATCAATATATACAAATTATTTTGTCAACTTAGTAAACATCATAGCTATATATTTTAATGCAGGCGCGTAGCTAGGATCTTATTTCAGGGCGGGGTGGTATTGAGCAAGCGAATCACTTAAAGAGTGCGCAAAGCGCTCCCTAGGTGGGAGAGGGGATGGGTGAAAGGCATCCCGCGCGAAGCGCAGTAGCTTAGACGTTCCATTAAATTATTATGAAAAGAAGACGATTTGTTGTGCCGTTCTCGACTCTTAATCCTTGTCTGAATTCAGTTTCCCCATCCCACACGAAGCGCGGAGGCTTAGACGTTTCATTAAATTATTATAGAAAGAAGACAATTTGTTGTATACCGTTCTCTACTCTTAACCCTTATTGTCTGAATTTAGTTTCTCCCCCTCTCGCGCGAAGCGCGGGAGCTTCGACGTTTCATTAAATTATTAGAAAAAAAAGACGATTCATTGAACCGACTCTAAATCATTGTCTGAATTTTCAAAACTGTTTCTTTGTCCGATAATAAGTCACAGTTCTAAGGGGAACAAATTGCTGGCCGACCGACATAAAAAAATACCACCGACTTCAACCCCACACCCCCCCCCCTTTTTTTTTTAGCGACGCCCCTGAATGTAGAGTGGCCTGAGCGGGTAGGCACAGGGCGTGGTTCTAAACTTACAGAGACACTTCGTTAAAGACACCTTTATTTCATGATTGCGTGTGTTGAACTGCCATGGGCTTTACAACTTTAAACCTCCAGGGTTTATTTTGCATATATAGGGATTTACATGATCATCTATATAATAAAAGGAAATAATGATTATTCAAATATCATAGGTAGCAAATAAAGGATGACTAACAGAGGAATGAAAACAAACAGATAGGAGAGGATGATCAAGCATAATGATGTAAACCAATCTATAAATGTGAATTACTAAGTAGCCTGTTCACACTACAGCTCTACAATAACAAAGCATTTGTAGCCTTACTTTTAAGCAGTTGAAGAAATTAATAAAAGTAGGCCTACTTGAAGAAATCGTTGAATTATAAGATATTCAGTTTATTTTATTAAGTATGACAAAACACACATTTAACACCTTTGGAAAAAATAATACCCCAGGAACGTGAAAAACAAAACTTTTATTATTCACACATGCCTATAATCGGACATATTTAAAAACGGAAATGTGGCACCACCCAAAAATATAATTCTGAGATCCTTCTTTGTCTTTAATTTGCACCTGAAAATAAATTCTTTGTTCCTCGTCTATGTCATCGCGGCGAAAAATTTCAGACTTTTCTTCTTTTCATGCAGCCTCAGACAAATGTGCCAAAGAAGTTTTGTCTTCTTGTGTTCCTGGAAACAAAGTTTGGGCAATAGTTTTCAAGTTCAGTTTATCTTTACGAGATTTATATATGTGTAATATTAAGCTTTGGTTGAGATTTCTTTGGGTCATTGTATTTATCAGAGAAGTTTTGATCCGTTTCAAGACAGAGAATGTTCTCTCGCAAGTTGCCGTTGTAACCGGGATTGTAAGGTAAATGAGAAGAAGGATGTGCACCTCTGAGAATGATCTCTTATAGATTGGACTGTTGTTGAAAATCTCACAGATTGTTTTAATGTATATTTGATAGGTTTACTCTCATCGTCGCACACGTCTTGGAGGCTTGTTAGCTGCCGAGTTAATGCTACAAAGTCAATATCTCCGGCATACACTTCCCTCAACTCATCAGCACGAACAAAATATTGGGAGGGGGCTCATGATAACCGAGCCCGGCCGAAATATTTTTTTTTGGGGGGGGAGGGGTGGCTCAATGATATCCGGGCCCCTCAAAAATATCGGGGGGCTTCGTGATGTTATCCGAGCCCCACACAAATATCGGGGGGCTCCGTGATGTTATCCGAGCCCCATCAAAAACACTTGAGGGGGGGGGGGGGGCTTATGATATCTGAGCCCCACCAACATATGGGGGGGGGGGCTCAATGATATCAGAGTCCCTCCAAAATATTTGGGGGTTTAAATGATATCCGAGATCTACCAAATATATTTTTGGGGTCAATGATATGCGAGATCCGATGTCTGAGCCCCCCTCTCTCCTCCCTAAATAGATATTTATAAAATGTTTATATTTGAATGGTACGTCTGTAGATTATAGGTATACATGAGTTTCATGCCTAGAATATAATGATTGGGGAGGAGGGGGTTCATGATATCCGAGCCCCGCAATAAGTCTCGGGGGCGGCTCAATGATATCTGAGCCCCACTTAAAATATTGGGGGCTCAATGGTATCTTAACCCCTAAGGACTCGATGATATCTAAGCCCCACCAAAAGATTGGGGGCTCAATTAATGATATCTATAAGCCCCGCCAGAAATATTGGGGGGGGGGGCTCAATGATCTCTGACCCCCCCCCCCCCCAATATATTTTTTTGGGGGGGGGGGCTGCGCCCCCAATCCCCCTCCCCCGGTTCCTAAGCCTAATTACAGTTCAATGAAGTCTATTTTTTAAAACTGGGATTGGGTAACTTTGTTTTAGGTTCTGAAACAAAAAATCCTGGAATGATAGTTAGGGCTAGTTCTGATCGGAAAACGACCCAAATATCGGAGTATGGCTAGCTGCCCCAGGGCCTTTCCCTATATACGGATCAGAGAAAAAATACTTTAAACATTTCGGGGGTTACTTTTATGACTTTCGGGGGCTCTTTTTGGCATTTCGGGGGCTAATTCACCCCGAGCCCCCGTGTATTTTTCCTCCTGATATGGATAAGTGAGTGCCCTGATGGGTCTACTTCTAACTCGTGTTTTTAGCCCTTCTTTCTTTACTTTTTCCTTTCCTTTCTTTTTCCTTTCCTTTCTTTTTCCTTTCCTTTCTTTTCTTATTTTTTCAAAGAGGGGGGGGGGGCGGGTCCATCGCCCCCCGTATATCCGCGCCTGAGTGACACCCACACTACTAACCTTATTTATTACCGAACAAAAAAATGAAGAAAGAGCCCCTCGACACCATAGGTGTAAGTATTCAGCCAGTTCCTACCCCCCCCCCCCACCAATATAAACTTTAAAAGTGATTTTTTTTTCTTCTAATTTGATACCAGTGATATACAGATGTTGCTGAAATGGCCTAATTTTCCGGGATTTTTCCTCGATTTTTTATGCGTTTGTTGTAGAATGACATATATCACAATTTACAGTCAGGCAAGAAATGTGCTTATTTACTATTAAGAGGCCGACATGTCAGGTCCCGCGGAACGGCGGGCTTGGGGGCTCAAGCCCCCCCCCCCTCCCACCCCAAAGTATATTAAAGAGAATTAAATAAAAATAAATAGAAAAGAAAGTATGCTCATGTAACCGTAATTAAATGCCCATACCCCTGAGCTAATTCCGGGGGCTCTGCCCCCTGGACCCCATCTTGGGCCCTAAGGCTGGCCCCTGGATGCTCATCTGACCGTAAGTATACGAAGCCACGTACAATCGATTACAACAGTAATTGTGGGGCCAATATCACGAGTATGCCTTCATAGAATAAATGTTTCAAAGAAAATATTCACTTCTACTTTCAAAAGGACTGGCCCATTTGCTTTAAAAAATTGTAGAGAGTTATTATTATGTAATTTCTAGAAAAAATGCCAACCACATGATTTACAATGAGTCTAAATACATTGATTTGCCGAGTTTCTTCCTTTTATCAAATATAAACGTAAAACAATGGGGGGACAGACTGCGCGGATAGCAATCCGCACGGATCGTCCCTCGGACGATCCGTGCGAGCAGAAAACCCGCATATTATGTCCGACGGACAAACGAAACTGGTAGGACAAACGGCGCGGTCACACCGGCCGGACGAACATTGTACCACTGTGGTCTCTGTAAGATGTTTGACATACATGTGCATTGTCTGGCTGTGGTATATTCAATTGGGACTTCTCTTTTAAGATGCTGTCAAATATATCGATTGATTAAGAGTTGTATCCCTCGATGTCTTCTCTTGGCGTACAAACAAGAGTTGAATCCAACGGATGGTTGATAAGTTTGCTCAGGGCTCTTCAGTGGGCCAGACCTTTTAATAAGCACAATGGTATCATTGATATCACTAACAGTCACAGTGATCATCTTACGGCACAGGAGGACTTGAACGTGAACCTTTATGTGTGTCTTGAGGTGGTTGGTTATTTTACCTGACTGCTAAGAAAGCATAAAATTAATGCTTGTTAGTAAGAACCAGACGGCCGACGGCTTCAGGTCTTCTCCGAGGGACCTGGTCCCGAATGCCTTACCAATGGGCACTAGCGCATCGACTTGGTTTCTAACCCCGGCCACCGGATAACGAGACAACTGCTCTACCAACTGAGCTATCGCGCCTCCTCATGTCTTATAAGCTATGATATTATATTCTTATTTGACTGGAGTGGTCTTTATAGTTTTCGGTGATTATTTCATTTCTCAACCTCCATTCGCGCTCGACGACGTTTCATAATAATTTGCACAAGGTCTTCAAGGTTTGAACATGTGAGTACATGATGCATTGCAGGGTAAATCTCAGCAGTGATGTGAGTAATAATACTCAACAGCAGGTTTGATAGCTATATCAGGAATAGAGCTATTCTTACATTGCCTATCTATGAAGACGTTTATATTAATACCCAGTAGCGGTTCTAAAGGGTGGAGCGGGGGGGGGGGGGGGCTTGGTCCCCCCTAAGAATAAAAACAAATAATATTCAAGCCCCCTACAAATAGATTTTAGCGAGGCGAAACCATGTGTAAATTCATGGGTAAACCCCTTAGCGCCCTCAATATAACAATGTATAGGCCTATATTTTATACATATGCATTTAATATCTTTCTAGAGTCGATCCCGAATCTTACCAGTCACCAGAACTGTATATATTTGTTGTTGTTTTTTGTCTTATACGCTTAGATCTGAAGCAGACAATGTCTTCAAACCGTGCAACTTCAATACTTCTTCCACTCATGGATCTTCTTGATGTCTTAACAACGCCTAACTACGGCATCACTCTCAGCCACCACCACCACCTCCACCATGCAAGATCCAGCTACTACCAAAGAAGCTAAACCTAGCCCCTCCAAGATGACGCACGCGGTGAGATCTGGAAAGACGTTCCTCTATATGACCGGTCTGATTATAGCCTGTCTAGCGGGATACATGTATGGTAATATTGGCAGAGATATCGACATTAGTAAGTATAAACAGCATTCTTATTATACATTCTAATTATATTATATACCCTAGTCACCACCAAGATAGACAAAAGACTGGCAATATGTCTGTAACCTGAAATAGAAACAAAAATTTGAATAGAATTTGTATTTTAATTTGCATTTGACTATTATTCAACTTAGATGACTTAAACATAATTATATTACATGATATTTATCCAGAAGCTTCAATTTCATTGTAAGCCACATAATACATTCCTTTTTAAAGCACAAGCCTCGCAATATTAGTTGTCACAAATACATTTTAATCTTTCTGAAACCATTTCCAAGTTTCCAACCCACTAATTATCATAAAAATCTTCATCACCTACATGAAGAGAGTATCGTTTTACATACTGTTTTCAAGTCTAAAGCGACTATACTCTCCAGAACTTGCTTGTTCTTCATTCATTGGTAATGGCTGACTGTGTATTAATTAACAATAATTGTGTATTAAGAGATTTTGAACCGGAACAAACTGACCAAAGTTTGGAAGAAATGTCAAAATTGAAAAGCAGTGCCCATGCAGATTATGATGTACGTTTATGGCCACATGTACACTCATTAATATTTGGTTGTTAACTATGTCTAGTCATATTCGGAATAATGAGGAAATTTTCATTTTCCAGAACATCATTTTACGCGATATTGCAGATATAATAATTCATTTTTCCACAATCATTCACAAAAAAAAAAAGGAAACAGCTTATTTCACCTCTAAGTTAACCAGAATTCAGACTTGTCTTCAAGTTACCAATTTATTCTCGCTGTTATTCTTATGATAGGTTATTCAATCAGCAGTGTCAGTATTGACAGTAGCTTGGTTCATGATGCTCTAAAGAAAGAGGCTGTTCAAGATCTCTCAAGATCTGTCCAGGGCAGCAGTAGGTCTCTACCGTTTGGAATATGTGATGACAATGAAGACTGTGAAACTGTAGCTGCTGATGTGAGTACTCTTGCCATTAAACCCAAGTCACACCGACGAGACCGACCGACCATACACCGAAAAAACCACTTAGAATCAGAAAAGCAAGGACCATATCGATCAGTGGTCGGTTTGCAGTCGTATGCCGATGTGACTAGAGTATTAACGGCAACAAAACCCAGCTTTCTACGAAGCATAATGTGGCGACAATGTCCTCCATGGTCTAGGGGCCTATATATATTTTTCAAAGAAATACAAAGACCGGATTACCAACTACAAAATCTTGCATCGCTCTTCCCTCATTTTCTATTCAAATTTCGCTGTAAGAACCTGTTATGAAATTATTTTTCATGGAGATCTCTTGAACCTTTCTTTATACTTTGCGTCAAAATGTATCACACACTTCGCAAAATGCAAAATAATTGTTTTTCTTTTTCCGGGAGGGACATAAAACCGCACTTGTAAGTTGTAGAGCTGCCCAAGAAATATTCTTCATTCTTTTGAGAATTGGGAGGCAAACCCTTCGAGCAAAAGAAATCATTTTCAGAAGCTTATGGATTGACAAGGATTAGCACAAGAGTTTACCCAGGCCATGCATGGTATACATGACTGACTCCCATATCAGAACCCCCATAATAAATAATTCACATAAAGATAATGTTTTTAGGAGTTGTGCCATGAAAATTGTTAATGTTTTTGTGTTAAGGATGATTTTGACAGAACATGTAACTATGTCCCCCCCCCCCCCCCCACTCCGAGAACGGACGGACCCCATGCGTGTTACCAAAATGTCCGGTAAAGGGGTACTTTTCGTGCGACAAAGTCCGGCCCGAGAAATGTAAAAAAAGGGGTGTATTTACTTTTCACCCGGAGATTTCTTTAAAAAGGGGGTGTTTTTTTTCTCTCATCTCTTTGGACTCTTGAGAAATTATTCCGAATTTAGGGGGGTACATTGAGCATTTTTCATGATTTAGGGGGGGGGGGTCTCTAAGGCAGGAAAAACCCGCGAAAGGGGGGTTCGGAAATATTGGCAGTCCTCAGATAGGGAGTGCTTTCAAAAAGAGGTAACAAGCATATGCGTACCCTAAATAACACTGAGTGGGGAGGGGGGGGGGGGGGGCCGGGACTATGTCAAGGCAATTACTGTAAACAGTTCCTTTGTTTATTCATTATTACAAGTGCACCCCTTTTACGATACTTTGATTTACTTTGGCATGTTATAATTTTTTGTACACACAGGATATTGTGGTCATACCGTCACATTCTGAGAAGGAGGAGGTTCAAAAGGACGATCAAACATCACGAAAAGCTACCATTAAACGAATTTGTCGAAAATATGAACGCCTCACATCCGATGAAATATCAGATGATACGCTTAAACGGTTGTTTGTTAATGAAAAACACCGAATCGTATATTGTTCTATACCAAAGGCCAGCTGCACGAACTGGAAACGACTGATGATGGTGGCTACTAACGACTCAATTGATTTGGAATCGGTCACGAAATTCAATGCACATCACAACGGTGTATTACAGACATTGTATGATTACCCTGAATACGAACGAAATACTATCCTGAAATCATATAAGAAATTCACATTTGTACGAAATCCTTTCATCCGTCTTCTGTCTGCATATAAGGATAAATTTGAGTCATTAAGGAAATATCGTTCCAACCCCGGAGGGAAATATTTTCGCCGTTACGCTGCTGATATCATGACCAAGTACAGATTAAATGCTACTCTCAGGGAATTAGAGAGCGGCGAAAACGTGACGTGGTCTGAGTTTATCTTATATGTCACACATTTAGCAGTCGATGAATTCAACGAGCATTGGAAACCTATGTATCAACTTTGTGATCCGTGTCAAGTGGAGTACGACTTTGTGGGTCGAGTGGAAACAATTAATGAAGACGCAAATTACCTCTTAAAAGAGGTAATGAAACTGAAAACATCGAAATTTCCGACGTTTTCCGACTTCGCGACGAATAGTTCGGAATATACGTATGCCGCATATGGCGATGTTACGTTACAGCAGTTGAGACTACTGTGGGATATCTACAAATGGGACTTTTGGCTGTTTGGGTTTGATAAACCAGACTTTATTTGAAAACAACTCAATCAAAGTCATATTATGGTTATGCACATGCGATTCAAACATGGTCTTTAAAGCTGCTTCTTTGGACGAGTCGCTAATATTTAACTCGTGAAACGCCATACCATTACCTGCCACACACTAAGAAAAAATGGTGCAACTATGCACCTTTAGGGGTTCAAACCGATGCAACAATAGCAGCACCTTTAGGGGTTAAATCCTGCACCCTTTTTAAAGGTGCAATCCTGCACCCTTTAAAAGGGTGCAAGATTGAACCTTTTAGGGGACATGTTAGTACCTTTTATGGTTCAATCCTGCACCTTTAGGGGTGCAAACCGATGCAACAATAGCAGCACCTTTAGGGGTTAAATTCTGCACCCTTTAAGGAGGGTGCCAGATTGCACCTTTTAGGAGATAGTACCCTTAATGGTTCAATCCTGCTCCTATAGGGATGCAAACGGATGCAAAATCAGCACCTTTAGAGGTTCAATCCTGCACCCTTTAATAGGTGCAATCCTGCACCCATCATCGAGGAATACTCATGAAATTTGCTCGTACACAAATACATATTAAACATGCATGATGTTTCTTGGTTAGTAATCATTTTGCTAAAACGTGAATGTAATTGTAACATGATCAGACAAAATAATCTATTGGTTAATGATTGCCGAAGGAAAATACAAATCACAAAACATTTATTGATGTGCATTGTCACCGTCATAATTTGCTTAACAAATCATGATAAATGTATTTTTATGTGAACACGTGGTAAATAATCATGAATACGCATGCAATATGCAAACTTTTATTTTGCACCCTTTTTTGGTCGATAGGGTTCATTTTTGTGGGAAGGGTGCAAAATCTTATATTGCACCCTTTTTTGAACCCCTTTTCCTTCAATAGGGTTCATTTTTATGTAAAGGGTGCAAACTCTTATTTTGCACCCTTTTTTGCACCCTTTTTTCTTAGAGTGCATGAACGATGTCCCTGTCATGTTTTGTCATGAATGTTTCTTTTTTTAGGTTTGTTTGTAAATTTATAAGTAAATCTTTTAAATACTGTTCGGGGAACTATGCCACCACAAGGCCATTTGGCCTCTTTTAAAGTTCCCTATTTTCATTTTCATATTGCAAATGCTTTTTATTGTATATATCTTCGTATTGTTTTTATTGAAAATGGAATTGAATAAAATGAATTAAATTGAATTGAATACGCGAATTTGATGCCCAACGTATATGAGTGATCATGACGCATCATTAACGCAGGGCTGCGTCAACGACTACAGCGAACTTTGCCGCGCTCCAAATAAAGAGTGATAAATAAAACATACAAAAAGTTAATGCAAAAAAGGCTCTACAAACATTGTTTTGAAATAATCAGAGTATAAATTGCTTTCACATGGTTAATTCATGTAGCGACTTATTCCAAATTTTACTTTGTTCCTCTATATCTTTTAGTGTATTAATCGTAAAATGATGTTAATGGTGGTATGGTTGGTGAAAGGAAAATTGGTAGATGACAATCAAGGGGCCATTGCAATACATGATGTTTACCTGCATAAATGTGTCATTCAGAGTGGTTTTAACGTATTGTTGCAAGATAACAGATGATTGAAATATTTGACCAACTTTTTGTTTAAAGTTTTAACATGGATTTAAAAAAAAATGAATATAGAGTAGAAGGAAAAGATCACGATGATGTATGAATTTAATTTCACAATGACGGTTAGAAACATAATATATTTTCTTCCTTTTCTACAATCTGTTATGGGGCGATTGCAGACACTTGAAGTATAGTATAAGATTGAGATTGTGTTCTAACGGATATTTCTCAACCACTTTTAGTTTCTTAGTCGAATTCTTTGCTTCAACGATGGACCCAATAAACAGTGTTACCTAGGCCCTAAATCTGTGACGCAATAAACCTGGAATCATTGTCGCCAGAGCAAAATGATGGATAACATTCATGGATAGCAAAACATATTATTTTCCTACACCACAAAAAATAGAGAGATGCTCGCAACTACTGTGTTGTAAATTTATGATGAATACACTAAACTCGAAACTGCATATAGTTTTCGTATCCTCCGTCGGTTATATATATGTTTATCTATCACTGATCAATGTGATTCCCTCACGTTTCTGATTTTAGTAAACACATGCAGCTTAATTCAAGGAAGAAATTCTCTTAGATGTTTTTTTTTTGGTCAATTGTTCATGATCATGGCGGCTCAGGTACAGCCGGGGTAATTTAATTGTGTCAAACGCAGTAGAATATGTTTATAAAGTAAATGCGCTATATAATTTTTATAAATTGATATATTATTATTATTATTGTTTTTAATATTTTTAATAATTATTATCATTGATATTATCATTATGATCATTGTTGTTATTGTTATTAATATTATTATCAGTACTGTCATTAATATTATTATTATCATTACTATTATTTCTATTGGTATTATTATTATATACTTTTACGAAAAAACTCATACCATTCTTAAATGAAGCCAAATAATGACTGCATGCAGATCACATGAAACTCCGGAGTGTTGGCTCAGTCAGTAGAGCGTCCGCCTCACAACCGGGAGGTCGTGGGTTCGAACCCCGGCCGCGTCATACCAAAAGACGTTAAAAGATGGGAGTTGTTGCTACCCTGTTTGGCGTTCAACAATATTGGATAGAGCAACGTCGATCTGGCGCTGCTCAGTGGCTGCCGGGCTCACGATCAATTGGGCAAAAAGAATTTCCGTTTCGGTTTAATAAAATTTGGAGTGGACTATTAGGCTATTATTATTATTATTATTATTATTATTATTAAATGATCACCCTCTGACATCATGCGTGAGTCTTGGGTTCTGTAAAGGTTGCATTTTTAGATTTCATTATTTTCTTATTCGTAACTTATTGCTGAATTGTTTTTACTCATTTTTTTACTCTTTTAAAACATTTTGAAAGATCTTGCCCAAAGTATAATGTAATGATAAATGTATATGTATATGTATTAATATGAGATAATGTAGGCCTATATTAGTGTCTGATTTTTTTATTCACATTGACTTCGTGCCACTTGAATATCACCTTGATAATTAATTGTTGCTATATAATTGTTATCCTATTATGTTTTCTGATGTAATGAGAAGAGCACGACGACAAAGGGAGACAATGTATGATTTATAATTATACAAACAGATGAGCAATTATTTTGTTATGGCTCGTGGTAAGTTTCATGTGATCCTGTCTATTCGTTAATAAATATACAGAAATATCATGAAAATTATCGGAGTTGTATTTTGTTTTCATGTTTAAAATACCGTTCCGTTTCATTCAAAGCCCCTCTTCACGCATTCCCTTTTCTTTGTCTGTCACTCTCTTTCTCTCTCTCTCTCTCTTCTTCTATCCCTCCTCCCTCCCCCTTTTCTATCTGGCTCTCACTCCCTCTCTTACTTCTTATTTCCCTTCTCTCTCTCTCATTCTCTTTCTCATCCGCTCTCTCTCTCTTTCTCTCTCTCTCTCTCTCTCTCTCTGTCTCTCTCCACGACTATACTTTAAAGGGATAGTTGAGTTCTTGTTTAAAACCACAAATGCTTTCAAAGTGCATGGATTTTGCTCTTATTCTAATTTATGACATTTCTAATATTTTCTAGTGCCCTAATAGGACCTAAACTTAATATGAAGGTAATTATGAAGGTACTTTTAGACCGCAATATGTGTGAAATTTAGATTAAATACGATCATACCAATTCAGCTCCACTTAAAAAAATTACGGTGACACGAACCGGCTGGTTGTGCGTATTGTAACCAACACGAAAAAGCCAACAAAAAGCCAACGTTGGCATTGGCTGGAATAAAACGTATAAGGCGCCATCCTGTTTTTTGAACAGCTGGTTAAATAAGTGTCGAATATTTGTGGTGCTTTCAAATTTGAAACTCAGTTTTTTTCATTATCTCACAACAAATATTTGTGTAGCGCCCTCTGCAACAAAACTCAACTATCCCTTTAATTTTCCCACTCTCTTTTCGTTTTATCACTCTCCATAATATATCATTCATAACACCATTAATAATGATAATCTCCCTTTCTCATGTTTTTCTCACATCCCATGCTTTGTCCATGTATTTGCCTAATCATTTCGGACAACTAGTTCAAGAATCAATGGACAGTCACAAATGTAGAAAAAAAACAATGCCTTTATAATACAAGAGTAACAAGACATTATAAATATCTAACGGGGACACAGTGATTCTCGATAATAATATATATAGATTTATATATATCTACCATGTGGTAGTCGTATACAAAAATGAAAAGTAGGTTTGAAAAAGAACACTAAATTAACGCAAAGAAACTTTTTTTAAATGTCAAACGTTTAAACTAACGATATTCATGCTAATATCAAAGAGAATTACATTGGGTTCTGGTAAAGGAGAAAGTAATTTGTGAGCTTTTTAATTCTATTTATGTTACCGCGTGGAAGAGTATCATATTGGAAATATCTCCAGAAAGAAATTGTTTTTCTAATGCCCTCATATTTAAAAGATGAAAGATATAACTGAAATATTTGGACCAAACTTGAACTATATTTGTGGGGTGCGCCTGTAATCCAGCAGTTACAAACTGATTCAGCCAAGGACGCAGGTTCACAACTGAGTGACGTCTTTCGGATGGTGACGTTTAAAGGTCGGTCCCCAGACCTAAATAATCGTATCTGATTGATACACGTCTGTAAAAACCCAATACACACTATGCACATTTCTGTGTAACGTCATGTGACCTTCATCACAACTGACTCGTTTTAAAAAAAAAAAATCAGTTTGAAGATTCAAAAATCTCTTACGGGCTACATATTCAGCCTTTCCCAATCGCTTGACGTATAGACAGTGACACAGTGTCACAATATAACCGCGGGACCAGAACTCAACTTCATCTTTATAAGCCACAACATGAGAGAAAGCTTGACAGATTGTATAAACGATAGAAAGGACGTTAAAACGCTTGATCTCTGGAAAGTAAGATATGCCACATGTAGTAGGAAAGCACCACTTATGTTCACCTGAGCAATGTATATATCACATTATGACATTGTGCTAAAGCCAAAATGAATGGCAACAAGTTTTTTCTGTTTTTTTTTTTTATCGTAGTAACTTTATATCTGCAATGTCATATGCAACCCAGAAAACATGTCTACTGAAAAAAATCAATTTACACTACTAAAGAAAACCTTGGAGTATTGAAGTAAAAATCGAAATGTAAGAAACAGGGTAAAACAAAACTTTAAAAGTGTTACATTATGTACATCAACAAAGTCCATGAAATGGAAATAATCCCTTTGGCAAGTAATCTTTAAGAATATTATAAAGGAAATAAAAACATAAAGACATTTGAAAACAACCAATAACAAAGATGAATCTAAAAACGCTGACATAAAAGGAGATTTTTCGTAATATTTGGCATCCTGGCATCTCATTTCTTAAACCTACTCTATTCTAAGTGGTATGTTTCCAAGCTATGCTTACAGCACTACTGGCCATTTAAAAATAGCACATTGATTAAATGTAGCTGTCTTTCCAAGGTCGACAATTTAACAAATATATACAGTACTAGTTTATGTCTTCCTTCGCAAATTGATCAAACAGTGCTGTGATCTTACATTATTTGTTCATGGACAGTAGAGGGAGGTATTTCAGAATACGTCTTCAGCAAAACCGAATACATATCCCCCAGAAAAGTAGCCATGAAACTTTTTCTGGTGCATGGGTAGAAAAATGGCATTCGCAATCAATAGTGCATAGTCGCCCAATTTCACGCCATGCTGTTTGGTGAGAAAACTTGTCTTTGAATGTCTTCCTGCAAGACTTATTGCATATCCTTTGATACTGAGTTCATGAAAATTTGCGGCATTGTCACGGAGTTACGCGACGCTTTTATGACACCAGGTCCGAGCCCGCAAAATGAGATTCTTTGTATATTACGTGCAAACCGATGGAAAAGTGTATTTATGAACATAGACGATTTATTATCAAAGTGTGACACATAATATTAACGCTCTATTATTTGACACAATAACTTTTAAAACAAATAAAAGAGGCGGGAAATTCTAGCCGGAATTTATTAATTTCACTTTTATGTCACACCAGACACCTGTCCAATCACAAGTCGCGTTTCATTTAAAAACCTTTGAATTCAGTATTCATAACCCTAGTGGCAGCAAGACAACTGTTCGAGGTCCTTTCCTAACGATGATTTCCCTTACGCTTCCCTGTACTCATAATAATATCCTTTGAAAAACAGATAACATATATCGCCGTCTCTTTCAATGATTTTCCCATAATGGTAGAAGTCCATAGCTAATTCAGCAATATCTACCATGGAACTTTAATCGATGTCCAAGTAAAACCATATATTTTTTGTTGATACCGTTTTAGGCATCTTCATAGATGAATCACACCGTCACACAATTTCGTATAGTGATAATAGCTCACTTGTTTCTGTTTTCATGTTACATTGACAAATTATATTCAATGCCCTAATCGGGTAAACAAAATCATTTGAAATATATTTCTGTCATAAACTTCCCTTGTAGCGTCCGCAATAAGATAACAACTCCGGATCCGTGTTTTGTTTTTTGTGTGTGTCATATAAAAATAACCACACATGTTCCACATTAAACAACATGTAGTTCGAAAGACAGATCGCTTATGTTCCCTAGACGAGCCTGAGATGAAGATAATTCAAGCTCTAATCCTGCAAAGACAATCATTTAACTCCTGTCACAAACTTCCCTTGCAGCGGCCCGATGACTAGAATTTAGCGGAAAGTAGATTACACTGCAGGTTTACGATTTTGGAATCTTCAAAACGACTGTCTATGGTTCTTTCTACTTCACAGGACAGGACTGTTCCTTGTTTTGGAAATATAGCATTCATCCATCTTAACTATACTCCAAATGACCACCTGTGATTCTTCGAGACCATCTTATTCTTGAGTTCTATTCTTCACCCGTCTCGGCTATTTACCTTGTTGACGAGAGCGCGCCATGTTGGTCAGAGCGACCGCTGCTACGATCTCCTGCCAGTAAGTCTCCTCATCCTCCTCGCTAGGTAACACAAATGAAATCAAAATCAACAATAATGAGAGAGAAATGAAAGAGAAATGATAACGAAGAACAATCGTGATTGAGAAAGTGAGATGGCCCAGTCGGTAAGGTCTCCGATTGTAAAATTAAGGGGTGCAGTTTCGACTCCAACAATAATTAGCAGATAACTGATAACTACACTGTGTATCATTGTGAAGGAGGCTAGGGAACATAGGATGAGACAAGAATGTGTTCAAATATTATTCGTCGGCGTCATTTTGAACCGACGGTTCCGTCAAATACATGTATAGTGTACGAATTTGTCGATTCAAAATAACGCCGACGAATTTTAACGAAAAACAATTAGGAAGTGTTCAATATAAAACGGTTTACTTAATTATGCTAAGATCCACACTGATAGGTTTTAATGATTATGAGTAGATAGTTTTCGAAACGCTAGCAAAATAACTTATGCTCGTTGCATTGAGGGATATCATTTCGATTGCGTCATACGCCAGTTACTTCAAAGCAATGTATACGCTCGTCATTTTAGATTCACTTTTAGTACATTAACACCATCTTGTGACGCATCCGACTCGCTGGTCAGCCCCGCTTCAGTAAATGACGCCTCCAGTTTTGTACAACACAATAGAGCGCTTTCGCACACACGACGGAAGCAAAGACGACGGGGGAATTACGGGATACAGCTCTTCCGTCGTGTTTAGGGAACGAACGCTATCATGGCCGCGTACGGTCGTGAAAATCAACAGGACGGAGAAAATTCTGGTTCGCGCATGCCCAGATTGTTCGAATTACCGTCGTGTTTGCCTACGTCGTGTTTGCGAAAGCGCGCTAATAACACACAAGGACAGAACATGGAGAATATCTTACTTCTTAAAATCTGTACTCTTTGTGTCCTTGAGGAAAGAGGTCCAATCATTGGAGGATGAAGATAAGGAGTAATCTGAGAAGAGAAAACATTGCATTATACTCAATACTAGATATGCCAGATTGAGGGGCGAAATCATCCAACCTCGGGGTCAAATGCTTCATAATTAGTTTGCGCTATGATTTAACATTCTTTGGTGAAATAATTGCATAATCACATTGGTGCATTAGATGGTCCCACAACATTCAGGAAATATATTTTTCATCAGAATTTCGTTAATACCTATATAAGTAGTGATTGATATTAACGTTTTGTATGACTGTGTTACTTATCATTTCTTTGTGGGAGGACCGTGAATTAATAGTGAAGCAATTTACAATTCGTATATCCTGCCACTTTAAGAGAAGCCAGACTAAGGGAGGTCCTGAAGAAAGAGGTCTAACCTTCAGAGCAGTGTCTTTGGCGATAGCTTCCAATGCTCGAAGACATCGTAGTTTCTGGTGACGTTGACATGCGTTCATACTCGTGAGAGTTAACTGACCCTGATGCTCGAAACTTCGACCATTCTTGACCAGTAAGTCTCCCAGCGGTACGGTCCGTGTAATTCGGCAGGTTCAAAGAGTTCTCTTCCGGCAAGAGCGTGTGTGAGCTATCCATGGAGGCAGCGACTGTGGATGCCTCAGCCTGCCGCTGCTGAGCATGGTTATAAGTATCATTGAGGTAGCGTTGCATGATGCTATGTTTGTACTTGTGAGTTGGTAAGGATTGTCCTTGGTGGTCGCTGTGAGATGCGATGTGAGGTACTGATGATAGTGGATGTGGTGAACAAATTCCTGGATGTGTAGCGTTATGGACATTGTGGTTGGCGCCCTGCAGTTCGTTAGTAGACGTCGTGACGTCCTGGGCATAGTTTACAGTGCTGCTATCATCTGTCAATTGAAAAATGTATCGTTGACAATAAAATAAACGTACATGACAGACATGGCAGATGTAAAACAAACGTTTAGATAATTTGAAACCATAACAAGGCACCTAGAAAGAAGGTGATTGATACAATCCCCTAACGCCTCCCAAGATAACAACCTTCTAACCTTACAGTAGTGATACCAAGATAGATGTCCAGACATATCATGCCAGTCGGCTAGAATTTCATTTCAAAAGTACATTGAACAAAAATGATACCCCCGTCACACCGCCGAACCCACTCAAAACTGACTTCAAACCGATCAAATCTTGGTCATTATGGGATTTTTTTTGAGGCCTTTTGTTTGCTGACTTTGGTGTCGGTCTTGCCTGTGCTACTGTAAGTTTCATCTTCGGTTGTCACAGTGGATATTGAAAGAGGCATGAAGCATTCCTCTTTGAAGCATCGTAACATTTTACAAAGAATTGCCACTCCAATCTGAGGACGTCAGTAATCTCTCTTCAAATGGTAGACCTATACTGAAAATCCCCAGTGTGCTCCAAATGATAGATGGGTAGCCTAGAACATGATTGATTATGTATTCCAGATTCTTTTCACACTCATTGTTATCTGAGGGGTCCACAATTTACAAGCTCTGCTTTTCAGTGGACCTCTCCATTTCCTCAAAATATAAATGCAGTTAAATTTAAAAATTCAATTTTTGTCTTCCTCGTATAAATTACAATTAAGATTTGTTTATTACAAATGTAACTATGTTTTGTATACATTTTACATTGTATTCGTTATTATGTATTGTGTTTTGTTGGAAATGAAAAAATGAAAATGAAATGAAGAAAAAAAAACATCTCCTTACCAGACTCGAATCCATTGAATTCCTCCTCATCATCAAAGTCATCTCCTCCTGATGATTCCACAGAGCTGATGCTTAGCCTCTCAGCGTTACCAGTCACGTGTTTGTTGTACTTATGGATTCTCTTCTCCCACGACATCGCCGGGTCATGTACAGTGTTCTTCAGACGTCTGCGGGCGTTAGCGAACCAGTTGGACACCTACAGAAAGAAAGAGGACATTCATGCATCATCTGAGCATTTCTACTGAAGTTATAAAAGAATATGTGGTACCTCTGGCCATTATGTTTAGATTTACTTCTCAACTAATTTAGATATCTTGCAACATCGAAAATATTATTGTTGTCAGGGGCGTCGCTAACTCGCTATACTTTATTTAAGAAGGGGGAGGGATGGTGAAGGTCGCCGAAAATATTTCGATATGCAAAATATGAGGAGTCTTCAGATATCCTGATGAGCCGATAAAAATAATAACAATAATAATAATAATCCAAACGGTGCTTATAAAGTGCTTTCCATCGAAGTTTGTAAGCGCTATAACAAACGAAATACGACGAACAATCACCCCCCAAAAAATTAACAAATAAACCTACAAAATACAATACAAATAAAATATACATAATTTGTTTTTTCACAGAGTAAGTTAATCATCAAAAGAGGTTTGAATGAATGTGTGTTAAGATAAGTTTTGATACAAGACTCAAGAGAAAGTTGGGCGTATAAAATTCAATGTTCCTAAAGAAAACATACGATTTGCCGACAGTTGACAAGGCTTTAGAAGTTTTGGAACCCCCGAAGTCTCACTCCACCACCCCCCCCCCCCCACCCTCTCCCGTTCCCTCCAGCAATATGCCCCTGTGCCTTTTGACTTTACTATAACATGAGCAAGTTCAGAGAGTAATACCTGAACAAGGGTCATGGTAGATTCCATTGATAGAAGTAGCTTCTCTTTTCTATTCGGGTATGGGTAGTCTTTGTGATGATACAACCATTGTTTGAGAGGTCGAGCCATACTCTTCATTGTTTGTCGCTTGTGGCGCACTTTCTCTGCCATTGGTGTCGGATATCTTCTCCTGCAAGTTAGAGAGAGAGATAGAGAGAAATATATAAAATTCAATAAAAGACAATTATGATAAAAAATGTTATTTTGTCATTACTCATTACAACACACTCAATAACTAATATGAGACATTTAAAATGCCCGAACATGAGGGGCCAGACAGTATTATTTTCAAATTCTCCGATTCTGACCGCGAACTCTAAGTTCTAATGCAAGATATCTTGAGACTCGAGGGGTCATCCACCTCCCAAACCATTGTCTTCAAAATCCATGCGGATTCACGCACTGCTTGAACAAAATCTTCATTCGTGTATATTGTGATATTTTACAGCTTGCAAAATTAACGACAAAAAATAAATAAATATAACACCAAACAAAACAAAAAGGTTCTTAAGATGTTCCACTTTGCCGCCTGACCTAGATAAAAGCGGATTCTATCTTTTAATTCGAAGACAGACTATACACGGACATGATTGTAAACAGGAAGAAGATCGTAACTATGCTCTAAAGAAGTCGATTGTTTATTTTACTCGCTCACACAACAAGGGTAAATACTAAAGAGGCCTATTAAAATACATTATTAGAACAAGTAATAACTTTATCATATTTTAAATCAGAAATAAGACGTGCTAAAAAATGATGACATGTGAAATGTTCTATTCTCCCCCAACGTGTCAAGAAGGAATGCTTACAGCTATCCCAGTGAGACTATTATCCTTGACTGAGTTTGAAGGGAGACTGACGTGGTACAGGTCATTTTCAGAAGATCCATCATTCCTTGGCCTGGCTTTTATCTCTTATCGCAGAAAAGCAGTTCGTTTGACACCGCTCTCACTTGACATGGTCCAAGTTATCAAAGATACTCTGATGGTCTTATGGGTTGCACATTTAGACCACGGACTACTTCGTTTTCAAACATGCGAGCTGGAGAACTGGTATTTGGTAATGGACCAGTAACTTCTATCGCAATTGGGGTGTAAGACGAATTTCTGAAGTGATTATGTTATCATTCTGGGCATAGAAGTAGGTCTATGTTTTGGGTAACTATTCTCTACCGGGTTGGTCAATGAGGTTTGAAAACAAAATTTATTTGAATGGCTAATAAATAAAGGCTCTAGGCTATAGCATATATTGTGTTCTACTTAAATAAACTAAACCAGTGAAGATGAGTAGTTGTAAATAACTTCAACTAACTTAACTAAGCTAGCAATTAGCAAATGATAAATACAATTATTATGGTATAATACTAGATAGTATTAATGTTATTTATTGGGCAGAATGCCTTCTTAAACATGCAAGGATCGAACCTGGGAGTCTGGGACCTCTCGCAATATGATAGCTAGTGAAGCTGAAGAGCATCGAGTTCAACCATGTAAACCAATATTCATGTAGTATTAATTAATAAGTATAGACCTATACACCAATTACAATGACAAGTGGATGATACGATCAAACGTAATATAATTCTAGGTCATGTTCATTACCGTGGATCTATCAATTTCAATTTCAATTCAATTTCAATTTATTTCTCCACAAATGCAAAACATATACTTTATAGGGAGATACATAAAATAAAATGACATACAATACAATAATAGAACATATACATCATATATAAAACGACTACATGCAGTTGGAGCAATGTATGTTTTAAAACGAAGAAAAAAAATCATCAAATGTGGAAGGGGTAGTCCAAAAAAAATTATTTGTCGAGGACTACCCCCAAAACCTCTATCTAGTTTATGTACACCATGTATACTCAATGTAATAATACTTACCCGATTCGAGCCTTCATCCTCAAGTTATGTGTTTGACACAAATCTATTCTTCCTGCTGTCTTTTCATTCGTATCCACATGATCCTGGTCGCATGACTTCTCAATGTCCTGTACAGTTTCCATGGCAAAGCTCTTGTTTTCCGCAGACAACCAAGTTTCTTGAGCAATTAATCTATTACTACTGTTTATTGGCGAGAAATTGAGTTAACAGAGTAATTGCCACAAGCGGCAAGGAGGAGCTCAGAGAAACAACCAACGATTATAAAGAGACACAGACAAAGAAATACAACTTGGTTTGAAGACAACCTGCACTACTCATGTATTTCGTCGAACTTCTCGATGGAAAATAGTTCTTGGAACCAGATTAGTTGGTAAACACCATCTCAACTCCAGCTTCTGTGTGAAATGCTTGTAGGGGGCACTGACTCCAGCGCGGATACACAGATTGCTATTGTGTGATGTGTGAGTGACTCATGTTTCTCTCCAAACACACACACAATGAGAGTCTAGTGACACTTGCGTCAACTCCAACAACCAACTTCAGACAAATCGGGGCAAATAGAGGTCAACTTTCTCCCTATTTTCCTCTAAAACTGACAAACTTTTCTCCAAAAGAGATACATATCTTATATTTTCCACTTTATATTTTCTATATAATTATCACGGTGATAGTGACAAAAGTAGCATTATAAAGACAAGAATCGCGAAAACATGAAATCGTGTTCGGCAGCACTGGGAAGGATCACAACTATTTTGGTTTTGCGGTGAGCAGACGGTCACATTCCGATGCGCTTGTTCATAAGTGCCGTTGTGCTACAGTATAATTTTGACACGCGTGATTGCGTACCAAAGCATTCTGATGACAAAAATAATATCCCTAGTCGTAGGTTTTGTTTGATTTTTAAGCCGACGGTGAAGAGGGGGGGGGGGGGGGGGGGGTGGGGGGAGTCAAATCAATAAAGCTTTTAAAGTTTTTTGGGTTGTATTACCCTCTCCCCCCTCTCTCTCTTTGCCTTTCTCTTTGTTATACTTGTCCATACAAAATACAAATATTAACTCGTCGACAATACTTTGTTCCTGTTGACCGTCGCGATCTAAATCTATATTCCTTGAAAAAGATTTCCCACTCCGCCCCCCCCCCCCCCCCAATAAAAAGGGGTCCATATGGTAGGTCTCAACTGCTAAATTATCGTGTTGTTCCTGAACAAAATGTTGAGAAGAAGAAAGAAACACTCCCTTCAGGTATATTAGCATTCATTGCTGTTAGCACTTAATTTCAGGCTACTTGTGGTCATTGTATCTATCGACACTAGCACTGATCCTCATTTTTTGGCGAGGTGCAGGAGAAATTTAAATGGCCATGCATGTATAAACATAAATCATGTCGTCACAAGTGGAGGAAGGGTGGGCGCTATATTAGTCTCACTTGCAGACTCTTTATTGTCAAATTCATTCTTACTCGGATAGAAATGTCATGAAATTACTACAAATACAACATCACCCAATAATTCTTTTTGAACGAAACATGAATGAACATCAATATACATACAGTATTATCAAATTGTATCTTATTATTTGTGTAAAATAATATAATAATATAAATAACTTAAGTTTAGCCAAATAGACTAGAAATTGTCAACAAACTGCATGGGGAAACTTTGCAGGTTTTCTTCCAATATAAACAAACGTGTTTAATCACTGTATTTAGGGCAGACATTATCTCATCAGTGCTCACCTCCCATGTCGCCTAACGAATGGCTTAAAGCTAGGGATTCAAATTCATATTAATGTTAATTAAAACAATGAAGGGATTCCTTTTCAATTCAGGCATCGTAGGCCTACTTATATACCTTTTTTCTCGTCTTTCATCATCATCATCACCATCAGTCTCATCAGATCTCAGTTTCGTCTCTCTCTCAGTCTCTCTCAGTCTCTCTCTCTCTCTTTCTCTTTCTCTTTCTCTTTCCCTCTGCATTATATTCGACTTAACTCGACGACCAACTTGAACCCGATCATCATGCCGATAGAGACGATGTTGACGACAATCCATTTATATGTTAGTCGAGTATAACTATAAACCAGTGCACTTTGACAATCCAAATGAAAAAGTGGATAGGGTTGATTGAACATTATTCCGAAATTTTGAGCAAAGTGATGACTTTTTGTCGTATAAAATCATGTTCTAGTCTAATTGTTTGTATAAAAAAAGAGACTTTAATCATCAATCTATATTGATTATTTTGTCGTACAATACTACAAATCCGACGGTATTCTTTAAAGGTATGCCATTTATCTTTCTTTAGTGTAAATGGAAGTGGAAAGTTGGACAGTGCCCGGTGCAAATCAAATGACAATGCTGGAGAAACTAAAAGTTTCACTTAGGTAAAATAATATTTATATGCCGAAATAATCATGTTTCATACCCATGAATCTATTAACTGCGTTCAATAGGCCTATTTTGGTGGTACTGGTAGAAATATGTATACTTCTTCGAAGATTTTGTTGTAGTCCTACTTTTAAAAATACCTAACACTTTTTGAAAGAAGAAGGATTTTTCGTTCACATCAGTCTGTTCTATTTCACAATAATTAAGTGGCAGTGTGCGAGGGTTTTATTTAGAATGTAAAAAAGGAGTCCCCGAAAGTTTATAAGAAAAGATATCGAGGTTTAAATTGTAAGAGGAAAAACAATGTATATCTTAAGCAAATATGATAATATGGTTTTTCGTATTAAATGTGGTGCAAATCACCAAGTATAGGTAAGAACTCTTTTTTGGAGGAGCTCGCGCCATACAAATGCTGTGAATCGTCATCATCATAACTTGATCGTGGATCATCATAACTCGTGGATTAATTTTCAAGGGAAATCAGAGCCATCTTGTTTTTCATAACTTTGGGGACTTTCTACAAGTATTCATTTTTTAAATAGAAGTTGTTTCTTCAATGAAAAATTGTGAGGAAAATTCTTACTTTCACATGGAAATGTAAAAATGTGCATATTCTGAGCAAGAAGTTACTGTTCTGAGTAGGCGTTTGGAGCTATAAGATGAGTGATGCAGCATTGGAAGATATCTGCCTTATGCGTACTCGACTATAGCGAGAACAGTCCCTCTATTGTATGTCCCAAAACTCTCTAATCACCTGTTACTTATCTCACTTCAAATAAACTCTCACCTATTCATCTTTTCTGGTTTCCTTCAGGATTGGGTGGTATGGTCATTATCAAATATGATTACACCTTTTAAATACCCCTAGTCGAGAGAAAGGACTTGTAATCACTCAATATCAACTCCCGGTGTCAACTGCGCGCTAAAAAGGTATAATGTTTCGTTTTCATTAATTACATATCATTTTATCTTCATGTTTCTCTTTTTTGTCTTATATCAAATTATTAAATTGATATCAAGAATATTTTCAATAATTCATTAATTCAAATAACATTTACTGGTGCCAGTAACTTTCTTTTTCAATTGCTTCCATTAATTTTGTCATTAAGTTATTATCAGAATTTTTTAAATATTATCATAATTTGTATCACTATCGTCGTTAATGATATTTTTATTGATTAACATTAATTCGATTTCTTGTACTTTGTACAGTATTAAATTGACAAATTCAAACTGATTGTAAACTTCTCCAATACCCCACTGTGGGAGACATGATATTAAATTGGCATTGTCTTTGTCACTGAGCAAATGTGAAATGGCGGGGTCTTTTTACTCTATTTCTGACATTACAAAGCCCTAAAGCCAATTTTGATTCCGTTATCACATATTGTGGAACCATTAAGGAATTATTAAATCCTTGGTGGAACATTGAATATAAGCATACAATAGGCCCTTTATTAGCTCGTTGAACAAATTATTTTATTCTTCAAAAGAAAACGGTTTCTTCACCTGAACTGCACTGGAATGGCATAAGTCCGCGGAGACTAAATAAAATAATAATTACAATTTAAATAATCATCAGCAAAATGATGGTAGACGAAATGGGTACTAGACGAACTGGAATTAGATCAACTGGTTATTAGACTAAATGAACAATAGACCAAATGGGTATAGTAGACTAATTGGAGATAGATATTAGGCCAATTGACTATTAGGCCTAAAATAAAAACTTGTTGTATTGCCATTTGCGAATCGGCGACCCAAAAATCTAAAAAATCTACGGTCGGCATTTTAGTTTAATTTTTTTTTTTTAACCGTTTTTAAGAATTTATTTTTTTAATGAATACAAAAATATGTATTTCGTTTGTTTAAATGGGATATAAATGCATAAAATCTAATCATTCCCAAATTTTCACTCGTCTTCTGCCCTAGTTTCAAAATCCTACTAGCGTAAACATGCAAGTAGACCCCGGCCTCTTGTACGTGTTTATAGTTTATACCATTGACTGCACCAGCTAGAAAACTGAGAAATACATCCAAAACTAAAAAATATCGTCCCAAAGACGGCGACAAAAAAAAAAGTTTAAAAAAAAAAATCTTTTCCGACCGACCGACCCAGGTTTTGGCACCTAAAGGGCAATACAACAAGTTTTTATTTTAGGCCTTAGCCTAAATAGTCATTAGACCAAGTGAAAATTAGTAGACGAAATGAATATTGGGTCATGTGGATAGTAGAGGGGCTGAGACTTTGGGAGCTAGTTGACCAAACTGCAATTCATGTAAAGTGCGTCCCAGAAAAAAACATAACGAGAACAAATTATTATTGTGATCTGAGCTGTATAAGGTGGTTCTTGGAGATACTTGTCTCCTTTTCGGAAAGAAAGTTTCATGCTAGCTAGCTCATTTTTACACCTACTTATTTTTGTGATTACGCCCTCACGCGTCGCACTATCTACTGGTAACAAATTTTGAAGTGAAGCTCATCGTAATATTGCATTAATTTGAGATTCCTGGCTTGTGGACGATGCAGGATAAGGTAAGTTCAGGAAATTCATATATCGTCACATTTAGATATAATTTTTTTAGCATTTTTCCCCTTTGGAAAGGTCTTAAATTTAGTTGTAGAGTCTATATCATCCAGGTATCGTTGCTGCAGTAGCAGCCGCATAGACCCAGTGCAGCGCGTCCATCCTTGCGAAGAGATCTCCCCGCAAGGGACGGCTAAATTTGGAGCCGGGCTATGGCTTTGCCTAAAGCCCCAGTCCCATATAAAGCCGGACCAGCACGGACGAGCACGGACCACTCCGGACCATCCCGGACCATGGTCTGGGTGATCCGGGATGGTCCGGGATGTTTTGTTCAAAAAAAGTGTGATGCTTTTAAGCTACAGTCCCATAGAGTAGTGGCTCTGGTCTGCGGCCGATCGGCGGGAACTGCCGATTCTATTTTTATTGGAATACTCACAGAATACTTCAATACCCTCAATAAAGAGTCCATATAGACCTACTTACTTATTAAATAGAAGTCACAAATAACCTAACTGACCCACAGCGTGGTCAGCATTGACCACGTTTCGAAATGCTTCGAGTTCCCCGGTTTGCGGGCACGCATTACCGGTTTGCGGCACGCGTACGTCACAAAGCTTTATGCGCTACGTCACGATGAAAGCATGTACCAATTTACTACGGGTA